GTTCACTCAGTTTGTGAAGGGAGATAGGTTCAATTTGAACCAATGCCCGAAGAATGATCTTGAACGGGAACAAATGAAAAACATTCCTTATGCTTCTGTTGTCGGAAGCCTGATGTATGCTCAAGTCTGCACAAGACCTGACATTGCAATTGCTGTTGGGATGTTGGGAAGATATTAGAGTAATCCAGGTTTGGACCACTGGAGAGCTTCAAAGAAGGTGTTGAGGTACCTTAAGGGGACCAGAGACTACATGCTTATGTACAGACGGACCGAAAACTTGGAGGTGATTGGCTACTTTGATTCAGACTACGTGGGCTGCATTGATTCACTAAAATCAACTTCAGGATATGTTTTTATGCCAGCCGGTAGAGCTGTATCTTAGAGAAGCGCAAAGCGAACATTGATTGCTACTTCCACTATGGAGGCTGAGTTTGTATCTTGTTTTGAGGCAACCTCTCATGGTGTATGGATGAAGAGTTTCATTTCTGGCCTTAGGATTGTGGATTCGATTTCTAGGCCATTAAGGATATATTGTGACAATTCAGCTGTTGTTTTTATGGCCAAAAATAATAAAAGTGGTAGTCGAAGCAAACACATCGACATCAAGTATCTAGCCATGAGAGAACGTGTTAAAGATAAGACAGTGATTATTGAACACATTAGCACTGAATTGATGATTGCTGATCCTTTGACTAAAGGCATGCCACCATTGAAATTTAAGGATCATGTAGATAGAATGAGACTTGGTTCCTTTGTGTGAATTTCGTTGTAAGAACATATGTTATTTTTAATGAAACTCTATTTATGATGTTTTCTAATGAGATTTTATTTATGTACACATTCATTTATTTGTAAAATCATTAATGTTTGGATTTAGAATAAACATAGGGTTTATTCATTAAGTTATATGGGCTATTATTGAGAAATATTATCCATGGTAATACATGGAAGATAATACTCATTTTTAGAGGACCTATCACCACGATTCATATATTTTATTTCTTACTGTGGTGAATGATGGAATATATGGACCAAGTGAGAGAATGCTAGATTTTTTCCCTTTAACTTCGGTAACCAACTGAAGATTTTACACAGAATGTGGTCCACATTCTTCCATCAATTAGAAACGTGCTTAACCACGTTCAGAATCACGACCCCTTGGATGCCCACGTCTGGTGCACGTCCAAAAAACACTATGTGATGGCCAAAGTGTATAAAGGGGACAGTGCATACACGGTTTTGGTCCTCTAAGTCTGCAGTCTCTTTCAGTTGTCAAAATACACTATCAAACATATATTGAGTGAGGTTTAGAAGAACCTTAACCGAATTTTTTTATTGACCGAGAACATTAATGATGGGAGGTGCTCTTCGAACCGTTTCTTTTAATTCTGCATTTGTTCTAATTGCATTTAGAATTGTTAAGAGCATGTTTAGATCATATTCTAACATTGTAGTTCTTGTCGAAGATTAAAAAACATATGTAAATTCAAAATATATTTAAGCGACGAAATTAACTTGGCTCCTCGTATTTGATTGGATCTGATAGTTTCATTAGCTAGGTAGTTTTCCACATTCTTTTACCTCTTTTAGCTTGTCGTTCCCTAGGGTTCGAGTCTGGACATTCCCTTACTGTGCTTTCACACATGCAGATTGGTCCAGCCGGGCTTCGTACATATTCTGATCGCCATAGATATGTTAGATCTTCTCCCGTCTCATTCACATGGTCGTACTCGTTTGTACGTTTATGTGATGCAATATACTGTCATATTAGCGCTGAGTTCATATAAACACAAATGTGTACAGTGTCGTCAATTCGTCACTAGTACTTGTAAAATGTGTCAACGTGTAATTCCTCAGGAGTGATAAGCATGAAATATTGATATCGAGTATAATTTTTTTTTTTTTAGTGTTGAAAATGATAAATATAAAGCTGCTTGTGTCTTTAATATATAGCACTGAACTTTAGAAATTTGGGATGACTCGACCTGGACTCATCTGAGGCCATAACTCTCATACCACAAGTACCAATTTTTGTTTTTGTTTTTGTTTTGTTTTTTTTTTCCTGATGGAAGAATTAAGATCTCATTTATTTTATCAATTTGAGTTTAGAATTCGAGTTTTATTACAATAAAAAGTTCTCAGACACAATCACATTTAATTTTTTTTATTACAGTAAAAAATTTTCACATAAAGTTACATATCAACGAGAATTAAAAACTCGAAACAGTTGACTAAATAGAATCTAATAAATAAAAGACGGAGGGCGACCGCTTGAGTGGTTCATTGATTTTAGTTTAGCATGTTCGTACGTTAATAACCTTATGTTAAAACTGATTTTTCGTGATACTATTATTTTACGCTAAGTCGATCGGAAGCAGGATACAAACGAACTATTGAAAAGAATGCATTTTTTTGTTAAATGGAAAAAACTAATGCCTTATACGAGGCATTAAATTTAGGGGTTGTTCTTTTAGAGTATAACTTGAGTGTAATTTTTGAGTTGAATTTGAGTTATAACTTGAGTTAAAGTTAGAATTTGAATAAAATTGAGTAAAATTGAATAAATGTAAAACTTAAAAGAACGTGAATTTGAATAAAATTGAAACTTGAGTTATTTTTTTTAAAATTTTTTGGACAAAAGAACATGTCCTTAATCTTTGGAATGAATAAACATAAGACTGGATATAAATTATTGAGGAATATTGTTCCACTATACAGAACTCGAGCTTATATTTTTGTTTTAATTTGTAGCTCTCTTGGGCTGTATCTTGTATGACTACTTGCACTGAGAAGCAAAGAGAAAAAGAAAAAAAAAAAAGAATCCGATAAGTTACGATCGTTGATCAAACCCAAGTACAGAAAACCAATATATTGAAAAAAAAAAAAGAAAAAAAAAATGGAATACCAAAAAATTACGGGTTTGTTCTTTTAGAGTTTAATTTGAGTATAATTCTTAAGTTGAATTTGAGTTATAACTTGAGTTGAACTTGTAACTTGAGTTTGTGTTTAGTTGTGTACATTTGCGTTATTGTTTGAGATAAGAATCTTTTTGAGTTTGTGTTTGAGTGAGTCAAAACTTGAATTTGTATTTAGATAGTATTTTAATAAAAACTCAATGCTGATGAAAAATTTTAATAGGGTATATAGGTCGGGTTTTATTCGTCTTTTCATTGTCAACGCATAGAAAAAAAAATCATCTCAATCAGAATTAAAACGAAATAAGTTATAGCATTTTTAAGAATATAAAAAATAATATTCATTAATTTGAGTTTGAGTTTTTAAACTCGAATTGAAAATGAAACTTAAATTCGAGTTTTAATCCTAAATTTGAGTTTAAACTCAAGCTTAAACTTAAATTTAAACTTAAAAAAATATGAACTCAAATAAAATTATAACTGAAGTTATATTTTTTTGAGTTTTTTACTCAAAAGAAGAAGTCATAAAAGTCTTTGATTTAAAGGCCATGCTGGAAGATAACCCGTGATATTCGAGGGTATCTTTTTGCTGAAAAGTCAACACTCGTTATTAATATTTTTGGATACTTAATTTACAACATAATTAGTTGCTGCATGTTATAATGTTGGGATTTTTTAGGGTGGAATGACCACTGTTTTTTTTATTGTTGGATTACTTTTTTTACGGTCACATTTGCACCAATAGCAATTTTGTACAATGCATTATAAATTTTTAATACGAATATTTATAAATCTAATTTTTAAAAAATTAATTCAATAGTTAAAAAAATAGTACTCTACTAATAGAGCACGTTTTGGAGTTCTATCATAAAAAATCCCTATAATGTTATATATGTAAATTGTGATTAACTTGTACAAATATTTAAATAAGATTAGAATTCTCTTTACTCATGTATAAATATTTCATTCTCATCAATAGAACTAGTGCCATCATGCTTCAAAGTCTCATCACATTCTCTTAGTGCAGTAATTACCGCCTCGAACGATACAATTTACTTTTTATAACTATTATTTTTGTCGATCTAATGGCTGTGCATCTCATCAAGCTTCTTGAAACTGAAACTGGATGAGTACTGCAAATTTGTAACAAAAGAAATGAGGAATTATTCGATAGCAGTGGCCTCATTTATTTCACCAATTTGAATTTTTAATTTCAGTTTTGTTACAATTAAAAGTCCTCATAAAAAATCACATCTAACTTTTTCTACTACAGTGAAAAGCTCTCACATAAAATCACATTAAACTCGAATTAAAAACTCAAATTCGTAAAATGAACGAGGCCTAAAATTACTTTAATATGTGAGACAAAAAACAGAAAATTAGGAAAATGATGAAACCATGATGGTAAGCATCCTTAACCATTTAAATTAAGCCAAGTTTGATAAATCTCTGAAAAGACATAAGAAAGTAAATTAGGTTTCGTTCAGTTTGTGGATTCAAGTTTTTAATTCGAGTTGAGATGTGATTTTATGTGAAAGTTTTTCACTGTAGTAGAAAAAATTAAATGTGACTTTTTGTGAGAGTTTTAAATTATATCAAAACTAGAATTAAAAAATTAAATTAGTGAAATGAACGAGACATAAAAAAATAAATATAAAATAAATTGCCAAAGATACTAAAATAATATGAAAAGACAAAATAAATTGCCAAATATATTAAAATAACAGGAAAAGTATAAATGACGTTTGGTTAGAGAATTCAAATAATGTGATTCAAACCATTTTCAATTTATGTGTATTTTTTGTGAAAAAAATACTGTAATAAATTACGAATTATAATTCAAATCAGAAAACAAATTACACTGCCAAACATCCTCTTAAATTGGGTTTGAAGTTTGAACAATAGAGTTTGAGGTGTGTGTTGTAATCCATTGCCTTATATGATTTCAATCGTTGTCTGATTCAATCAATGATTGCATCAAGACACAAGAAAAGAAATAGATTTTATCCACCAAAATTGTTCATGTAATGATGTACATACAATGTTTTTCATTATAAAAATACACTAAATAGTAGTCGAGGAAAAATGACAACAAAAAAAAAAAAACCTTTTTTGGCCATTTTAATCTCCGCCGGACATTAGGAAGAGCTTATCTGTTTGTCTCGTATGAACATCTACGCCATGGAAATGTTTGATTCATACCATTATCTAGCTCTCTTCCTCCTCATATTTCTCATTGCAAAACTAGTATTGATCCGATCCAAAAACAAAAATTCTCCGCCAACCCCTTTCTCTCTTCCATTAATCGGTCACCTCCACCTCCTTAAACAACCACTGTACCGAACACTCCAAACTCTGTCTCTAAAATATGGTCCGATCTTTTCTCTTCGGCTTGGATTCCGGTCCTTTGTCATCATATCTTCTCCTTCCTTTGTCAAAGCCTGCTTCACCAAAAACGATGTAGTCTTCGCAAACCGGCCACGTATCATGGCCGGTGATCACTTGTCGTACAATTACTCTTCCTCTGTGTGGGCTCCTTATGGCGACTTATGGCGGGGCCTTCGAAGATTCACCACCATCGAGATCTTTTCTCAGAAGAGTCTTCACAAATTCTCTTACGTACGAGAAGAAGAAGTTTGTTCCATTGTTCGCCAATTGTTCAAGGCCTCAAATAAGGGACCCCAAAAGGTGGATTTGAATCATCTCATCTTTCTCTTGACGTTCAATGTCACGACAAGGATTAGTGTTGGGAAACAGTTGATCGGAGAGGAAATTTCTAGCACGGTTGTGGGAAAACAACGTCTTAAAGAAGTGAAGGATTTGTTCTTTCCAGCTCAGTCAATGACGAATTTATGCGATCTCTTTCCGGTTTTGCGGTGGATTGGTTACGGAGGTTTAGAGAAGAACATGATAAGGTTGCAGAGAAAGAGGGATGAATTTCTGCAGGGTTTGATAGAGAAGATTCGCCGAAAGAAAATAGCTTCCTTAGAAGAAGAGATCACATTAGTTCATAGGCTATTGTCAGCACAAGAATCAGAACCTGAATTCTACTCGGAGGATGTTATCAGGAGTATTGTATTGGTAAGAATTTATTTGTACCATTTCCTTAGGGTTTTTTTATTTTTATTTTTATTTTTTATTTTTAATCCGCGATAACAGAAGTTTTCAACTACTATGCGACATTAATTAAGGTTGGAACTAGTTAAACATCTGCACTCTGTTTTGATAGTCATGATCGGGTGCATTTTTATTGACAGTTTAAACTTGTCTACTGCCCAGAGCATCTTCAATGTAATGCTAATCTCCAAATTTTAGCATTTTTTAGTACTGAGTGGTAAAACTAATCTACAAAGTAATTATATTTTTTATATTAAATTTGGCGGATCATATATTTGGTGTTGAATTTGGTACGAAGAATAGCATTATTTGATTGTTATTAGTGGTGTGTTCACTTTTTTGGTTTATTACATTATTTAAAACTTAAAGTTTATTTTTACTAATTTCAAAACTCAACAATTACGACACAAAAATATAATATCGTATCAAATGTACTATTTTCTCTTTTTAATGCTAATAAATAGTTAGCTTAAGAGCATTTATGGAGAGAAAAAACAAAGGGGTGCGTTTGGAATTGGTTCCAAAACGTTTTTATTTTCTGTACGAAAATGAAAATGAAAACATTTTTAGTTTCATTTTTGAATTATTTCTAAAAATGCGTTTGGTAGTTTTATTTAGAGATTGATTTCAGTTTTAAAAAAAACTGAAACTGCGTTTGGTGGTTTAATTTTTGAAAACATGTAATAATATATTAAATAAATAATATTATTAAATATA